AAATTTTGAATTTACCCTAATTTTACCAAACACTCTGTTTATCTCTCTCACACTCCAAGCATAATAGCAAGAAAGAATAACACCTGGAGGTCTGCTATATTATTTACTGCTCTATACTTATCTACTTTATGGTGACCAGAGGATCAACTTTGAAAACCTGGGGGATAATTAATGGAATGACTTTTGTATATTGGAACTAACTAGCAAATTAAAAGGTGGGTCTAAGAATTATTGGGAAAATCGCCTGGATTGTATAAATGGAATTTATTGACTGTGTGATATAAAGAACTATAACTATTATATTCCCTGATGGACAATACTAAGATTAAGTAATCTGCTGGCTTTGGGAAGTCAAAAAGAATAGATTCTCAAGGACATTCATTCTGCTATATTTGTAAATAGGTTAGATATTGTGATTAATTTTCTTTTAAGACAGAGTAGAGTAATATATAGATTCTTCTTTTTTTTTTCTTTAAAATACCAGATAAGAAAAAAAAAGTGCAAAGTTTTTGTATGGATTAAGCTTTTTTAAAAAAAGCTTTGTCTCGTTATATCAACTCTAGAATTTATAAACATATATTTCTTTGACATACCTATTTCTTTGAATGAAAAATGACCTCTATTAGCTCTAGATTCAGATATTGTGCTTTCACTCCGAAGATTTTGATAAGACTGCCACCCTGTGGTTTCATGGTTAAATACTGACATTTCTTTTTCTAGCTGTAGAGCACGAACATCAAGTTATTTGGAAATGCAAAGGAACTACTGGCAATTTTTTTAAAAAACTTAAACCTTACACAGTATATGTCCTAGCATGTCTAAATTAACTATCTAGTAATAATTATAAACTCAAAAAATATTTCAACAGCAAAATTAAAGGCATCTATATTTATCTCTCTGTTGGTATACTTTTGTTAGTCTTGACTCCTGGCGATTGCTTGAGTAAGTCCCTGCAATTTTCTTGGTAATATTTTTCAAAATAGATTTGCTTTCCTGAGTTGAAGCAGAGTGACTGGCTAAAGTCACTTACCAAATGACCTTGTTTTTATCTGGAATGGGATTCATTGAGTGCAGTGACCTCATTTGGACAAAGCTTAAGAGGAATAATGATCTTGTGTTTTGGTAATTTCTGTTCTGTTTCCAAACCTTTGTTGTAATGCTTGTGTAATAATATAGTAGCACAAAACAAAGCTGTAGTAAATACAAAGGGGCATACTATACTCTGATGTAAAAAATCTGGTGTTAAGAACACAGCTAATTTTCTAGCATTCCAGAATCACAAGGTACATCATGCTATGCAGACTGATTCATGATTTTAAAGAACAGCAAACCTATCAGCAAGCATTGGTATTATCTCCCAAGTGGCACAAATACTTTTTTTCAATCATTCTGTATCAGATACTATTTTTTATTTTTTTTGCATGTTACACTGTCTCTCCACTTCCCCTCTCCCCCAGACATTGGTTTTCTATGGACATTTAGAGATTTGGTTTTTGTTTCATTCTTTTAACAAGGTGCACTTTCCCACTAAATGTTGCCTGTTGCTTTTATTAGAGACATCTGCTTTTAATACCCCATTTTCCTACACATTTAAGATTAATGGTTTGGCAGGCAATGGTAAACCATTTGCATTTTATTATCAAGTAAATGAGAATAAACTTGATTTGACATTTTGGTGTTAATGTTAATGGAATTTAAGATACAGTTTGCTTTTCTCTGTCTTCTTCTGTGTTCAAATGTGATTTTATATTTTGATACTATTGATTATCTTAAGCAGATTGACCAGAAATTATGATGCTTTGCTTGCAGTGGGAAAAATATTATACAATATGGCACCTGAACCAAACATCAGCACGAAGTGTGATCCTGCTGAGAACAATTCATAAGCAATTTTGAGGCAGTGAAGTGAATACATCTATCCCACTCCAGTGTGTGTTTCACTGACTTGTAGTACTCTGCTCCAGTCTGATAGAAATATTGCTGTTCTGCAGGAAGCAAGCATTATTACCAGGTTGCCTTCGACTTAAGACCAGAATTGAGCCCAACATTTCTGTTGTTAAGTGAGATATTTGTTAAGGAAGTTTTGCCCCATTTTATGACATTCCTTGCCACAGCTGTTAAGTGAATCACTGCATTTGTTAAATTAGTAACACAGCTGTTAAGTTGCAAAAGGTGATGACCTCAGGATACGGCAACCTTGACCTCAGGACACTACAATCTTCATAAATACGACTCAGTTGCCTAACGTCTGAATTCTGATGACATGATGATAGGGATGCTGCAACCATCATAAGTGCGAAAAATGGTCACTTTTTTCAGTGCCATTGTAACTTCGAATGGTCACTAAACGAACTGTTGTAAATCGCACAGTACCTATGTTTGTTCATATTGGTATGCCAGTGGCAAGCACAGAAGTCTCCCATTCATTGCTGATTTCAGAAATGAATGTCAGTACAGATAATCCTCAATTTACAACCACAGCGGTTTGAAATTTCCATTGCTAATTGATGAAGTTGTAATGCAGAACTTGCGGTTTCAGTTGTTGTCGTTACCTGAATCCAATGGAGGTTGGGCAAGGGAAATTTCTGCTTAGCTTCCCATTACCAAAATCAGTGGGGGAAATGGCAGAAAATTGCAAGTTCCAGGAAAGCAGGCAAGTGGCTGTTGTGAGGTGGGGGAAGGAGAAGTATGCGGGGTGTGGAGGGATTGGACATGAGACATGGGGGTGTTTAGCAGTGTGTGAGAGGCACCCTGTAAGTCAGGGAGGGTATCTGATACACAGAGGTCTTTGTGGTTTGAGGTGGATGTGCAGGGGTGCACAGCAATGAGAAATGCTTTGTGGGACAGGAAGGTTCACTGTGGTGCTGTGCAGGTCTGGGAGAGTGCAGCAGTGCATGAAAGAGGTACCATGTAGCTCTTGGTAGCAGTGCACTAGAGGCATCACAAGCATACCAGAGGCATCAGAAAGGTTGGGTTAGGGGAATGTGCAAGAAGTGACACATTGGCTGGGGAGGAGTCGTGGTGCACAAGGGTGCATGAGAAATGCCACCTGGGTTAGGAAGTCAGTGCTATATGGATCAGGGCAGGGGGATGGGAATACAAGGCAGTGTGCAGGAAGTGCCACGTGGATTGGACAGGGTGTGCAGGGGTATGGCATAAGTTGGGGAATGTGCATAAGGATGTGTGAATGGCCAGCAAAGTGTAAGCACAGAGGAGCTAGGAAAGAGTGTGCAGGTGGAAGAGACCTACCCCAATGACCTTTGACCTTCCCTGCCAACCAGTGACGTTGGAAGGGAAGGTTGCAAATACCAATCATATGCATATGTGATGTAGCACTCTTCAAGAACCTCAAAAGATGCCATGCAGAGGAAAATCAAGACATCTTCTCTATAATTGCAGGATGTCTTAACATGGAATAATTGTTTTATGTTACAGAAAGACAAATTTCATATTGTATATCGACATTCTGTAGAACTTAGTTGTTCTATAGTTAAAGCAATTACTTAGAAATGAGTTGGCTTATCAGATAGAGATCAGATAGTAATCTGCTGGGGATACTTTCATTTGAATTCTTGAACTGACCAAGGGTTGAAATTAATGACAATGTGTATGTTTTATGTGTGAGTGTACACACAGACACACATGGCACATGATAACTCTTGGTTGTACAACGTTGTTCTAATGTTATTCTTAATTGCCAATGGTCTTTTAAAATCATACATGTAGGAAATCATTTTAATTAAATGAAACAACTAATTTGAATTAAAATAACTTCTCCCAATTTTCTCTTTAGCTGCCATGCATTGTTCTCTATTGCATCTATGCAACATTCAGCATTTTAATGTAATTTTCAGTATATTACTTTTTTTTTCTATTATGTTTCTCATTTGCTTCTGAAACAGAAGACATTAAATTTACAGGGGTTTTAGAGACTTTATTTATGTATAAACAATTTAAACACTTTGCCATAAATTATCTTTGCCTGTCTCTATTCTTTGCTTAGCAGCAAATTAAAATTAATATAAAAACTCAATGAACAATTCATACATGTATAATACAAAAAAGTTTTGTACCAAAGTTCTTATTAGACTCATTTTTTATTTTTTTTTATTTTTTTCTTAGTGACCATAATGTGATTGTCTCAGTTTCTTGACCAAACAAACACACTAATATTTTTTTCTTTTTAAAATCTGAAACAGTGATTGTGCCTTCTGGCTGATGTATGTACAGGGTGATCTGAATTGGTGCCCATTTGCAACAGTGTTAACACAATGCCCACAGCTCTACCAGAACTGACCAACAAACTACTGAATCTAAACAGACTACACCCTGCAACTGTGTTACTGTCCACAATGGAATCTTCAAAGACAAACAGAGTATGAAATTTATCAGTAGTGATTTATAGCCACAATTTCAAATTGAACATTACACTCTGCCCTCTTTGAATAAGTTAACCTTAGGCCAGACAAACGCAGGGTCAGAGTGCAAGTTCAGATTTATATTCCTTAATATATTTCTGTTCCTATTTCCAGTGCTCTGTTGCTCCTGTTCTCCTTCCAGTTGCTACACACAAATCACCCCAGAAGTCATGTATTAAATGCACCTGTATTTTGCCTTTAAATGAAAAACCTCGAGAATGTTTTATCAAATAAGCAGCCTGAAGAATGTTTCTTATCAGCTGACTTAGTGGATGGTGGGTGGCCCTCTTGGATTTCTTGAACATTTGCTCACATGTGAATGGAGTGAGGTAATATAAGATGAGGCCTTCTTTATCAATTTTTTTGTTGTGAAATTATTATTATTATTTTTCTTTAGACCCACAACAAGTGGGTAATATTTATGGGGTACTTTTGAACTTAAGTGACTTAAAAGTGTTCAGTCTGGCTTTAGTCCACTTCAGGATGTCGTTCTTAATCCCTTGAACAGCAGCATTTGACTCAAAAAATGTGAGCTCGCTTGCCACTCCTTATCCCAAAGCAGCTCAGCTGAGTGCCCCCGATGGTCTTCATCTCCTTAGGAGAGGAGATAACAGTTGTAACTACTGATTCATCCAGGCAAGGATGACAGCAGATTAATTGGTTACCTCTTTCCCATTTCATTCTGTCTTAAGAACTGGATGTTGCTGCTACTGTCTGCCAGCTCTGGATACTGCTCTACAGGGAGCACATAGTATCCTTCATAGCCTTGGACTCTCCCTGTGCTCAAAAGCTGCTGCTTCTCTCCTTCAGTCCACAGGCGGCTCCCCTCTTTGCCATCCCGTGCCTTCTGTTGCTCTTTGGCCCAGGCTGACCCCAAAGCCCGCTGCCGAGCTTGGTCCAGAACTCTAGCCTTTTCTTCATCCAGAGTGTCTGGGGTCAGACCGTAACGTATGTTAATCAATAAGGTAGAATATTGGAATTCAACGTTGGTAAACCTTCGAGTCCTTCCATTGATTAGGAGGGTTGGCTGGGACACTGTCACATTGACTCCACTATCCAATACTTTGCGTCCACTTGTCATGGCCAGAGTGACAAGATCACCATCAGAGGAGCCAATCTTGACGAAATAATGGGTGTCTTTCCCCTCAATGCTATAGTGCATTTTGTCCAAGTAGTAAGCATTATTAAGCACTGAAGCAATTTTTCGGCTGTCTTCCGTTGCAGTGCTTGAAATGCCAGTGGTTACTTTGCCCTCCTTCACAGCAAACATGATCCCCTTACCTATAATCGGAGTAGTGGTTGCAAACCAGTGACCTGCTTTCTCTCTACGACTGGCATGTAATTTTTTTGATATGACTTGTCCCTCAAGGGCCATGAAGCCTTGGTTGTGCCTCTCTGTTGTTTGCTGCACACCGGTAATTAACTAAAACAAAAATAAGAGGGAAAATACATTATTGATAAATACAGACATGCAGCACTGTTATTGCCCCTTACTGTTCTGATATAAAGATACAAACATTGTATGCTATTAAGAAGTGAAATGCTAGAGGAGCAATTGATTGGGGAAGGAGCTCTTTAATCATAACTAAGGTAATATTTCAAATGTAAATATGAAAAGATATTATGCTGGAATTCTAAACAAAAGTTACATAAAAATATATCCACCTAATCCAGTCCAATCCATCAGTGTTTCTGTGGTTTTACTCTTATCAGCTGTGCTTGTTATTGTTAACTTTACAAAACAACAGGGCCAGGCAAAGCATTCAAATATCCATTTCACAAAAAGCATTGGCACGATCAGCACATTCCTCTAATTCCGATGTTAAAGAATGGATACAAAATAGCAATAGCACTTAAGACTTATATACCGCTTCACAGCCCTCTCTAAGTGTTAGCAGAGCTAACAGAGTTAGCATATTGCCCCCAACAATCTGGGTCCTCATTTTACCAACCTCGGAAGGATGGAAGGCTGAGTCAACATTAAGCCTGGTGAGATTCGAACTGCCAAATTGCAGTCAGCTGGCAGTCAGCAGAAGTAGCCTATAATACTGCATTCTAAACCACTGTGCCACCACAGCTTCTGGAACATTTGTAATCATATCTTGAAATGTCTTTAAATTCTACAAATTTTTAAAAATGCTTATGAAATTTGCAAAGCACTCCCTAGATGGCAACCCCAAAACATAACGCTGAAGAAAACTATGTAGCTACAGAAAGTCACTGCTTACCTGACCATGTTCACATGCCTGTGATTCTGACAGTTCATAAGGAGGTGGTACAAAGTACATTTTTGCTCTTGGGAAACCAGGTATAATGTTGCTGAGTTGAAAGCCAAACATCACTAGCCAGCTTTTCACATCTAAGAATTAAAATAAGCACTTTTAGGAAAGGTGAAGACGGCTTGTAAACAGTACTAGAATTGAATCCGGGCCTAGTTATTAAAGCCAGGATGGGATCTGAAGCATTTTTCTTGACAATTTGGATAATAAATGTTTTACAAAAAGTAAAATGATAGATATTGCGTCATTGCTACAAGAAGCAAGAACATTCATAGGAGAAGCTTTTCTGAGTTTTGGCAAGTATTTATTTATTTTTATTTATTTTATTTGTCAATCGCTTACAAGATAATAGGTATAAGTACAAACATGAGTAAGAATACAGGAAATAGGTATGAATAAATGGGGACAATAGGACAGGGACGGTAGGAACTATGGTGCACTTATGCATGCCCTTACAGACCTCTTAGGAATGGGGTGAGGTCTTTTGGCAAGTAAAATGCATATAATGCTTTTTAACTAGAAAATCATCATAAATGAAAGAAAAAGTATGCTACAGATATCGCCCCCACCAAAAAATATCTAAAACTTTATTTATCGTATCTATGGTGTGGAACAGGTAGTCCTCGACTTACGACCACAATTGAGCCCAACATTTCTGTTGCTCAGTGAAATGTTTGTTAACTGGGTTTTGTCCCATTTTACGACATTATTGCCACAGTTGTTAAGTGAAACACTGCAGTTATTAAATTAGGAACATGGTTTTTAAATGAATCTGGCTTCCCCATCGTCTTTGCTTGTCAGAAGTTTGCAAAAGGTGATCACATGACCCTGGGATATTGCACCCATCATAAATATGAGTCAGTTGCCAAGGGTCTAAATTTTGATGATGTGACTTTGGTGATGCTGCAATGGTTGTAAAATGGTCATAAGTCACTTTTTTCCAGTGCCATTATAACTTCGGACAGTCACTAAATGAACTGTTGTAAGTCGAGTACTATCCATTATCTTTCAATTTTTATTTTTTTTTAGCTATTCTAATAGGAAATAAAAGGAAGGAAGGAGAATAGCACAGCCTGTTTCAGGATTCATGTTCTACTTTGCATAAGGAAAGGAAGAATTTCCTTTCTTGGTAACAGGTGTCGGATGTCACCAGGGGCTGGGTATGGAAGGCCATGGTAAAAAGAGAAGAAAAAGCAATAAGGCAAGATTAATAATTTGGGGTCAAGGAAACAGTAAATTTATGGAAAGCTATTAGTTAGGAAAACATGTTGACCAACTAACTATCCAATCCTGATTCCCTTTGGATATTTTGGAGCTTCAGTTTCCATAATTTTCAGCCAGGATGGTCAAAATGGATATGGGAAGCATCTGTTTAAAACATTTGTTGGACACATTTCTTAATCCTTTTCATTCCAGCCACTTTTACACAATGCTTCTGTTGCAGCTGCCTCATTATATGCTGATAGAATTTGATTCAAAGGCTTTGGGATATACTTCTGTCTGTCTGTCTGTCTATTTGTCTGTCTCTATCCTCCCACCTACCATCTATCAATCTATCTTATCTATCTAGTCTCTCTTAAAAGACTATATCATAGACATCATGGAGGATATTAAAGATTTCCCCGACTCCAATAATTTATGCTTTAGCTTTCTTGAAATATAATTCATTTTGCCTAACTTTTAAAGTTTTTGTAAATTACAGTTAGCTGCATGAATGGAAATATTTCTCTTTCTTTAAAAAAATGTGTGACACATTCTATTCGGAAAAAGGTTTTATTGACTAGTTGCGAATTTTTTTTCTTTGGAAGCACCCATAAATAACTTAACACTAAGTGGCAAATTAATGCCAACAGAGTAGAATATTTACGCAACATGTGGAAGGAAACATTACTTTACATTTTAAGAAAACCTTTCCCATTTTGGCATGACAGCTGGCATTGGGAAATTAGCGTCCATATGTACTCATGTTAAAGTAAAAGAGTATTATATATTTATAAATACTTAAAATGGAAATGATTTAAATAAATTATTCACTCTTGCAAGATTTTGGATGAAAATATGTGAGATCTCAGACGTGAGCTTGTAAAAGAAAATTAGCCAATTCTAAACTTGTTCAACCACGATTAGGGAACTGGAGGTTAAAACAAAAGATGATCCCTTGACTCCCCACAAAGAACAGTTGCAAAAATTGGGTATGTCTAGTTTAATGAAAAGAAAGAGTAGGGGTGACATGATAGCAGTGTTCCAATATCTCAGGGGCTGCAACCTATTTTCCAAAGCACCTGCAGGCAGGACAAGAAGCAATGGATGGAAATTAATCAAGGCGAAAGCCAACCTAGAACTTAGAAGAAATTTTCTAACAGTTAAAACAATTAATTTGTTTTAACTTGCTTCCAGAACTTGTGGGTGCTCCAACATTGGAGATTTTAAAGAAGAGATTGGACAACCAGTTGTCTGAAATGGTATAGGGTTTCCTGCTTGAGCAGAGGGTTGGAGTAGAAGACCTCCAAGATCCCCCCCAGCTCTGTTCTTCTGTTAACCAGTTTTTGGGTAGGGAAATGCCCATACCTAAAATGATTTCTAGTCTCTGGATTACACAATAGCTACACTTGCCTTGAGTGAGTTTCAATGCAGATCAAAAGCACCCTTTTCCCTACCAGTACTGATTCTTACTGGCTTGATTTGATCCCTGTTCTGCTTTAGGATATGGATAAATTTCATTCCCATTACAGTCATTCTATTATTAGAAGCCTGGTTAGTTTCTCTTTCTTTCATCATTTTGTTTGCAAATAAAGTCCCAACAAACCACTCTAAAAAGGATTTGGAACTTTAACAACATAGTAACATAAAAACTCCTTTTCCCCCCTGAGAAAAAATATATTTTTATAGGACTTCTGTAGCAATATTCTGTAGCAATCATGCAATATTTATCAGTTAAGGTAATTCGAAGACTACTGAAATGGGGATAGTGTTCCTTTTGTTGGATACTTCATCTTCATCCAACCAAATTCTTTTCTTCATAGTACAGAATAAAGGAGGCTTCAATTGGTGTCTTACTTTATTCTGCTTCTATGTATATAAAAGTGGCTACGGCTGAAATGAGCAAAGGCCTTTTCCTTTGAGATTCTCCATGCTTATTACCCAGTATTGTTTCCTACGACCCTGGAAAGTTTTGTGCCTTTTAAGAAAAATATAGATAATACAGATGGTTGATATTAAGTCCTTTGCCCTTTTCCCCCTCTTGCCTGTTGTTCATCTTTCTGTCTCTGCTATGCCTGCCTTTTGTTCTGTTTTGTCAGCCAATGGTTTTGAAGTTTACTGATGTTTAATAAATAAATATCAAGCTATACTTTTGCTAGCTGAAATGAATAGTATGCTTGCTTGCTGTGACCTGGCTTTAGAGATTTGATTTTGAGTGTGATTAAAAACTAAACTAGTAATTATCCACAGATATTTTCGAACAGTCTAAATTCAAACCAAAAAAAAGTCCAAATAATAGACAGTTGCATTGTAATGCAACACATCATTTTACTTTATTTTTGTTATTGAATTCAAATCTTTGAGCTTAACCCAGAGGACAAGATTTTTTTTTGCTTCTGCACCTTCTGTAAAACACTTTAAATTCTGACCACATTCCCTTTTCTTTCTCAATTGGGGAAAGCAAATCAACCCCTACCCAGAACACTACAACCTACCACTAATGGTATACAAACCATTGGCTGACAAACATTGAACTATATCCTTAGCATATAATATATCTCAAAGCATTGCTAAATCCACCTGAATTAAATGGCTGTATATAACAGATGAAGCAATGGGATTGCATATGCAAATTGGTGCAAAATATGTTTATAAAAATCTAACTTTTAGCATTTTATATTGGTAAGGTTAATTCACATACACAAAGTGTGATTCTTCTGCTCAATCTAAAAACAGTTATTACATGGATTAACTTGATGCATATCTAATCCTTGTGTATTTCTTTTTTAAAAAAAAATACATATAATCATGTGTGTCCAACAGTTTCTAGCTGAACTTAAACCCACTGAACTGGAAGCATGATTACATCACCAGTTAGTCATTAACCAGTGCAATCTTCTTCCTATCCTGCTCAAAATGAAGAATGTTGAGTCTGTACTTGATATTAAATGAATTTCCTAAGAGCAAAATAGCATTCTTACACTTTTTTTACAACGTTCCTTAGATTTCCAGACTATTAATTATTTCTCACCTGTCACATAGTTCTTTAAATCCAGTTCATTGCTGAGAGGATTGTTGCTCTTGAACATATACAAGTTGAATGGGGCAGGTTCCTTACCAACATTTTTCCACATTGTATAATCAGGAGAGGTCCAACGTGCAGCCAAAACATCATAATCTCTTTGAGTAAAGTGGACCAGTTTTGTTAAGGGATCATATAGCCCTCCATGAAATCCAATGACTATTTGGAAGTCAGGATTAGAATCGTGATAGATCTCTCCATAGGCTGTGTATTGCAGTTGCTTGATCATTAGACCATTGATGCTGAAAACTGCCAATGGTGTACCTGTATTATCCGAGGCAACATAGTATTCTTCTCCACTGCTGCTTTCCATTGCAAAAAGGTGACCTTGCAGATCATAGTACAGAGAGGTAATTTCTGAATTTGAGTGGTTATACACATGTGTTATCCTAGTTGGGTTGTGAAGATCAGCATAAAAATATTGAAGGTGATGTCCCAAGTTAGTTTTGTAAGAAGCTCGTCTTCCTAATCCATCGTAACGGTATTGAACGCTCCATCCATTTGCTTTATTATAAGCTCTTGTTAAGAGGCCCTTGGAATTGTATTCAAATGTGTCAGAACCTCTTTGACACAAAAAACCATCATCATCAATCTTATACTGCATATCACCTAGTCGCGTAATTCTATCTCTTAGATCATAGCGCAGTGGCATCAATCGGATACTGTTCCCAGGATTCAAGAGATGCAAGTTGCCATTTAGATCATAATTGTAACGCCAGTTTGGTCTGTCATTGACTGCCACACTCTGAAGCTGCCCATCTCCATCATAATCATATGTATACTTAGTTGTATTGGCATAAGGCCCAAGTTTTAATTCTCTCTTAGTTACCCTTCCCATACTGTCATATTGCACTGTCATCCAGTACATGAGTGATCGGAACATTTCATACTGAACTTCTTTAATCCGTCCATGTGTATCAAAATGTTTGCTCAGTGTCATTACAGCCGTAGTGATTATTTGATTTATATCATAATAGATTACCCCAAATTTGCCAAAGTGCTCTACTTTGCCTGAGATTTCATCATAACGATAGAGGTCAACCGGAAGAGGAATCTCACTTATTATAGGCTTGATGCTAGCTATTCGAAAACTATTATCATGATAGGTATAATCAAACCTAGCATTGACCATACCTTCTTCAGAGAATCTGTAAATCTGTTTGTCAACCAGAGGGCCAATTTTACGATAGCGGATGGTGCAAGAAAAGCCTCCGCTCTGTAGGTTAACCATCTTCAGAACTCCCGTAGTTTCATCATATCCAAAAGTCACTGCTGTGCTGTCATACGCAATCTCCGACAACTTGGATAGCTTCCCATATTTGTAGAAAACTTGCCGACCAGTTCCTAAAAAAGATGTTTTCAAAATCCTTCCATCATCGCTGTAATCAAAAATCACTGAAGCATTACTTTCAGGTGGGTTATAAATGTTTCGAATATAGCCGATTGAGGTGTGAGTGCTCATGCTGTGTCGAGCTATACTTGGCATAGTGACAGCATGCAGCCGATCTGAAGAGTCATATTCAAAGATGTACTGCCGCTGACTTTGAAGGAGTAGCACCATAGACTATTGAAAAAACAAAGTCATATTTTATGTTTGTTTTATCAAAAATATATCAGATGGGTATCACAATACAACACAAACCATTAAGGATTCCTTATACATGACAGTTACAGCTACTGCTGTTATAAACATTTAATGCTATTGATTTATTTGACAGGGCAACCCCCCCCCCCCCAAAAAAAAAATTGATACACAATTATAAAATAAATAATAGTACATTCTGTTCTATTTTTGTCATTAGGCTGATAAAGAAATATTAAACTCCATATTGACTTCATTTTCATAAATTCGGGTAATCGTATGCAGGCATGTTGTATACTATGCTGATATTACACTAAAGAATGCCACAATATTAAGCATACCTTTAAGAGTCCTTTGGATTTACTATGAATTTTTTTAAACCATAAACAGACTTTTTGCAATTCATGGCATAGAACCTGAAAAGTTTTATCATGCAACGTGTTATCCCATTAACATTTAATTAGCAAAGTTCATAAGTAACAGTTACGGTATTTTGCCACAAAAAATCTGATTGTGGCAAACTACTCTTAAAATGGGATTTCTTGCAGTTTTTAAAGGGAAGCTGGTTCTTATAAGAGCTGACCTCACTTCATTTTAAACCAGAATCAAAGGATTTGTATTCCAAGGTTTTCAATGAGAGTGCTTCAGCTTATATAATTATTTAATTAATTAGTCATTATTTAATTATGTCTATTTCATAAAAATATTTAAAAGTTACAGTTTGAAATATATTTATTAAACATTAAACTCCTGGATTGATCTGCCTGCATATATTTCTAAAATAATCTATAATCAAACAATCCTGGATTGTTGTTTTTTGTGACCAAACAGACCAAAAGTCTGTGCAGCTGAGTTTTCAAGAACCAGGCAAAAAATAGGGGCTGAAGGAGAAACAAGTAAGTTAAAAACAGGACAGGCACAAGGTCTGTTACTTAAATTTAGTCCTTGGATTGAAGATACAATGCATTAATCCGTAGTTGTGTGTGCATTAGCTTATATCTAGCGTTCGGGAATGAATACTCTGCTTAAATTCTTAAAACACAAAGGCACCTCAATTATGATTTTTGAATTGTTTGATGTATAGATACGTATGCTAGCATCAGTTAAACCCCAAACTTCAGTTTATGCAGGACTGTAAGCCATACCAACAATTACCTACTTTTTCTAAGTATGTATAACTCCACACTTTTCCATCAGCAAACATGCGTGCAATAATTCTGCCTTGTTTGTCAACCTCAGTTCTTTCACTCATGGCACCACGCTGAAGCCCAGCCAACCGTCCATTTGAAAAATAAGAGACATTCACAGCAGCAAGTCCACTGCTGGGCAGCCAGAGGAAAGGACGTCCAAGCTGATCATAAATAATACGGAGTGTAAACTTCCGGTGATCATCGTATATTTTCTCTGTGCGAATGTTCCGATCATAATCGATTGATAACAAATTTCTTCCATGAACCTAATTAAAGCAAAATGATTAACATTAATATACTGCTCTACGGTATATCACAGAAGACGCATTTGGTAGGTTTGCTTAACTTCTGCAGGTTTCTGCAATTTTTTCCCCCTGCAAATTCAATCACACACTGAAATGTGAGTCTACTAACATATTGGTCTTTCCCCCAAACTAATTCTTTCTATGCAAGAGTACAATGTTTTTTTATTTCAGAAGTAAGATCCACTGTATTCAGTTCCCAGTAACTTTAATTATACAATATACTATACAATTCAACAAAGCAAGCAATTAATGCTGGAGAATTTATATTCAATGCAAATTTGAGAATACAGTGTTTAATATGGTAAAAACTAGTAGATAAATTTATTAATATAAATGAACATATTGATTAAAAGATAAATCTTTAACTCAGTACAATAAAGTTTAAAAACACTGAGTAAAACCAGACCATAGAAATATTAGAACATAACACAAATACAGATTAAACAGTCAGCAATCAGGATGAATATGACAGTCTTTGAATTCTAGTTATAAATACTGTGGAACCACTGCTAAAAAAACTTCACAAAATTAATAATCTATATGAAACACTTTAACTGCAAATTTTAAACTAAGGTGGGTGAATCATTTGATAAAGACAACTTAAAAATTATTCTTAGTGTGGTTGCTAATATTTTGAAAATATTCATTATGGTTTACATATTAATAAAGGATACCTTAAATTTCTAAACCAATAAGACTTTTTTTCTGACCCAGGCAGGAAAAGAAACTCAATGATCTAAATAGAATTGAATTCTCAACAATGAATTTTCAGAAGAATTAGATCCAAATATCGAAGAAATGAGTGAGTAAAGGCAATTAGCTGACAATATGCAAAAGAAAAGGACTTCACAACCACCACAATTAATGGTTAGGGATTTTTCAGAACACATTTTCTATCTTGCTCTTAAATAACAGTTATTTAAAACCAGAGAAAATGGAAGTGAATTCCTATTTGGAATTTCTGACAACTAAATATTTCAAAGTTTAGGTGCTGAAGAAAGAGGACTCGGTAGAACCTATTTCTGCAGGGAAGATAAGAGCTAAAATTAGATGTTTCACAAGTGAAACCCAAGAGAACAACGTTATATCCAACTTGAGGTGTCATGTGTCATATTGATAAGGAACAGATGCATGTTTTTTAGTGAATTAATAGTCTGGGGAATAATTTCTTCACCAATTTTATCTGTGATGATTCTGTATATACTGTAACAAGCTTGGCTTCCTCCATGGATGCTACCAAGTTATTAAATATTTTTTGAGAAAAATCAAGTCTACAACTTTCTATTTTAATGAGTAGTTCCATTTCCTATTGGAAAGAAATGAGGTTCTCTCCATTCAAATATGACTTTGCTTTCATTTTCAAATTAATTTGAATACTTTTATCCATGACCAAAGAGATCTATTTTTAAAATATTATTTTTTGCTGCCTGACTTGTTTAATGAAGTACAGCTGTTGAAATCACTGTTACATGAAGTCTTCGGCATTTTAAAATGAATTATTTAAATGGTGAACATCCTGATTCTAAACATTATTTAGAGGATATTAGGCAACATGGTAATGAATTTACATTTATATTGTAACTATTGTTAACCGTATTAATCCCAAATCTATAGTTTAGGGAGTGTATATAATGCATATCTGATTTGAATTTTCCTCCTTACATTTATATCCACACATGCATCTGAAATAAGTGATTTCAAAGTATGATAAGAGAACTAAATTTCAATCAAAAACTTTTTATATAATTTAAGTATAACAATTCATAAAACATATCTATATAAATATAAATGGAAGATACGGCTTCAGTAATAATATCCCCCAAGATATCCAGGCGGCTCCCACCCTCATGATATTCACAAAGCTATTGAAGACTTGGCTGTTCTCCCAGGCCTTGGGCAGGGTAAAGACTGAAAACCTATAAAGTGTTTTTCCCCTGGTGTCTTGTCTTTGGCAACACAGGATTTCTCTCTTTTATTTCTCTCTTTCTATTTTTTAAATTGTAAACCATCTAGAGTCATTAGGAGTCTGGCAGCTTCTAAACCATACAAGCAAGTAAACAAATAAGCTTCTTTTTCCTGTACTGCCTTTTATTAATTGTCTTGCACCTAACCTCTATCTAGGGTGCCAGTTTTATTCATTACTGCCTATTAATTGGTAGAAATCTTCCTTGAATCTTAATGTGAGCACTTTCATTGCTGAAAATATGTTTATCCTGCTTACTTGGGATGGACATTTTTTTAAAAAAATCTCTCCCACAAACTTAACATAGGATATCACACCTTAAGATCACTGCACCTCTTCCCAATCTTTAATTCTTTTTTGGCAGATCAACTGTTAAATCTACACTAATCCCTGTCAACCTATCACCTAAATTTTCCAATACATAAAAAACTATAAAACATTTTTTTAAAGGACATCTTCACCAGGATGTGGTGTCTCACTCTGCTAGTGACTATTAGGAAATTATTATCTTCAAATGGTTGGAAGTAGCACACAAATATACCTAAAACAAAACCAAAAGTATGCCCCAGTGCACCAAAAGCCAAACAGCCAGTTTTGCACAGTGGTTAATACATCAGGCTAGAAACTGAGTGGTCTTTGAGCCTTACACTTTTGCTGCATGATCTTGGGTCAGTCACTGTCTCAGCCCTTTGAAGGACCCCTATGAAGGGCGCACTTTCCAAATCTTACCAAGAAAGGCAGGAGTCAAGATTGACTTTAAGGTGGGCACACACAGAGTGTGCACAAACTAGGGCTCATATTTGTCATGTTTGAATTGGATTAATTAATTGTTTCTAGGCCAAACAGATGTGAGGCTTTTCCCCCTTGTACCTGAAGAAAGCTGTCATTCTTTAGAATGAACTTTTTAAAATATATATAGTTTGCATGTAAAAATCTAGCCAGCAGGTGGCAGCACCTGAGCAATCATATCTGGCCTGGGAAGCTATAGAATTAGCCTTAGTGCTTAGATATGTCTTCTCAAGGGAATGTAAGGGTTGCAGATTAGACTAGAAAGTGTAAATAAAATATATGGGGAATGCAATGGAATTCTTTACAAAAAAACAACATAGGAATATATTCTTTAGGCTATTAGGAATTGAGCTCACCACAAAAAAATCTGATTTAAAAGAGATGGTTTTAGTTTTAGTTTTAATTTACTTTATTGTCATTGCACCTCATACAACAAAATCAAACACCATCTTCAGTGCACATCATGACCATGACCATGAAAATAAACACAAACACACATCCTTCACTCTCCACACATTGAACCGAAAATCCCTGACACCACACCAACACTGCACTATACAGCAGAATTCAAAAGCCCTGGATAGAAGCTGTTTTTCAGCCTATTTGTCCTTGTTTTTATTATTCTGTACCGTCTGCCAGATAGTAATAGTTCAAAAAAAGGCTTCCCAGGATGAGATGGAGAATGTTTTGAACTTTCTTAAGGCAGGAGCTATAAAGCTCTTCCAAAGAGGGGAGAGGGCAACCCATGATCTTCTGGGCAATGACATTAACCCTCTGGAGTGCTTTCTTATCTGCCACTGTGCAATTGGCAAACCATACAGAGGTGCAGTATGTTAAAATGCTCTCTATGGTGCTGCGGTAGAAGGTCACCAGCAGTTTTTCATTCAGTTGTTTTCTGAGAAGTCTCAGGTAGTATAATCTCTGCTGGGCCCTTTTGACCAGGGCTGCAATGTGGGTACCCCAGGTCAGGTCCTCTTTTAGGGTAACACCCAGAAACTTAAAACTGGCCACTTGCTCCACTTGGTCTCCATTAATAAGCAAGGGCTGGATGTCTGATCTGTTCCTTCTATAATCCACTATAAGCTCCTTGGTCTTATTGGTGTTGAGGACCAAGTTATTGTCTCCACACCATGAAAGCAACCGGTCCACCTCATCTCAGTAGGCAGACTCATCCCCTCTAGAGATAAGTCCCACCACTGTTGTATCATCTGAAAATTTAGCAATAGTATTACTAGCATGAGTGGGAATGCAGTCATGCACATAAAGAGTATAGAATAAGGGACTCAAAACGCAACCCTGTGGTGTACCAGTGTTAAGAATAAGGGCTGAAGAGGTATGATTACCTAATCTGACCCTCTGTGAGCGGCCAGACAGGAAATCCATAATCCAAAGGCAGATTGAATTAGAAAGCCCAAGGCCCAGAAGTTTAGACACTAGTCTATGTGGAAGAATTGTGTTAAATGCAGAACTAAAATCCACAAAAAGCATCCTCACGTAGTCCCCCCACTGTTCTAGATGAGTCAGAGCAGTGTGAAGAGTGATGGCGATAGTGTCCTCTGTAGATCTATTTTTTCTGTATGCAAACTGGTGTTTATCAAATGTATACGGAAGACCAGAAATGATGTGCTGGCAGACCAATTTCTCAAAGCACTTCATGATGATAGGAGTGAGTGCCACTGGTCTGTTATCATTGAGGTTATTGATAGGGAACTTCTTTGGCAGTGGAACAATGGTGGAAGCCTTCAATCAAGATGGAATAGTGGACTTGGATAAAGACTGATTGAAGATCCTGGTAAAGACTTCAGCCAACTGATCAGCACAGTCTTTAAGCACTCGGCCAGAGATACTGTCAGGACTGGCAGCCTTTCTAGGGTCCACAGCCCTCAGAATGCTCCTCACCTCCTGTTCCTCCACAATGAGGTGGAGGTACAATTGGCATACAGTTGTATTTTATCTGTCTCTGATGTCTCCACTTCAAAGCGAGCAAAGAAATGATTCAGTTCCTTTGCCAATGAAGTATCCCCCTCAGCAGGGATGACATTGGTCAGTTGATGGTTTGTAATTTGTTGAATCCCTCGCCACACCTGCCTCATGTTATTGCTATAAAAATTATCCTCAATCTTCCTCTCATAATCAGTCTTGGCATTCCGAATATCTTTCTTCAGATTAGCTCTGGCAACACTGTAATCTTGCCCCATCACTGGACCTA